CATGCTCTTCTGACTGAGCAAGCCAAGTGCCCCACATATATCCACCTCCACAAGATTTTTTTTAAGTGGAGAGAATAGGGGAGTAGAAGACCAGATTGTCTTTAAAACCCTTTTACTTCTGAAATGTTTAGGAATTATTTAAACAAAATACTGGAATGAAGGGGACTGCTAGGCTGATGGCATAAAAGCCCTATCACTATGGTGCATGACTTAACTTACTGACTGGGTTTTCGACCTGTTTCTCTCCTCACTGGCTTCTAGATGTATCTAAACCAACTCATATTTCCCAGCCTAAAAAAACAGAAAGAATCAATTAATTGCATTCTGTAAGACTTGAGAACAACAGAAACATGGGATTTTTTTCCCCACTAGTTTTTTTGACTAGTTTAGTCCTATTTAGGTGGTTTTGACTTAACAGAAAGGCAGTATACTACAGTGGCTGAGGGCATGGACTCTGGGGGCAGTGTCTGGGTTCAAGTACCAACTCTGCCACTTATTAATTAGCTTTATGTCCCTGAGCAAGTTATCTAATCTCTTTATGCCTCAATTTCCTCATCTGAAAAATTGAGTTAATCATAAAGTGTATCTCATGGGATTGTTGTGACAATACATTGAGTTTATATATCTAAAGCACTTAGAAGAGTGCCTGGCACATGGAAAGTACAAATAAATGTGTTTGCTAATATTATATAATATATATGCTCTCCTCTTCTAAATCTTAGTTATAAAAATCAGTGTATTAGAACTAAAAGGTTTCCCCATTGTAGTATGTGTTGGTGCCATCCTAAAACCATTTTTATGACTTCAGACATTAAAAAAAACAATAGTGACTGAAAAAAAAATGGTACCGGTAAATGATCAACAGGAGGCTGATGAGGGGTACTATGGCACAAGGAAGACCCAAGTCAGGAGGGTTGGGTATCATCCACTTCTGCCACTGAATTATGTGAGCTCCCTTTGACTAGTTTCTACATCTATAGTTAAGCGTAGGATCAGACAGATTTTAAAGTCCCTTGCAGCTCTAAGAAACAGCATAAGATTTTAGATTAGGTCCATATGTATTGATTTCAGTTTGTCTTCTGCATCCAGCACACCTGTTTCACAGTACAGACTCTAAACACTGCTGGTATATTGTCTCCAAAGTATTCTGGGGCTTTCCATGAAGACTGCAGATCAAAAGTAATATGTTCTGGGGCGCCTGGGTGGCTCAGTCATTAAGCGTCTGCGTTCGGCTCAGGTCATGATCCCAGGGTCCTGGGATCGAGCCCCACATCGGGCTCCCTGCTCCCCGGGAGGCCTGCTTCTCCCTCTTCCACTCCCCCTGCTTGTATTCCCTCTCTCGCTGTGTCTCTCTCTGTCAAATAAATAAATAAAATCTTAAAAAAAAAAAGTAATATGTTCTATGTTCATATCTGCTCTAACACAATGATTTTCTGATCAGGTACTTTGAAATACTATTATAATAACTCAGTGCTAGAACCACAAATGAGTGAAATAAGTACATTTTGCAAATGTAGATGAGGATGTTAATTCAGGAATAAGTTATCATTAATTAAACCATCAAGTACTCTGAAATGGTGGCATGGGCATGCTTTATTTCACAATTTGGTGTAAGTTTTGATCACTTGCAAACAGTAGAGGCACTTGCAAATAGTATAAGCTAACTCTCTGGGAAAAAATAGTAGTTTCAACTAGTTAGCCCAATTTCCCTGATCATCTAGTTCATGTTACAATTAATTGTAAAGTTAATCCAATTTAGCTCCTTGTTCTTCAACTTGGTCTTTCTTGGCCTCTTAAATTTCAAATTAAATATATCTTAGTCCATTGTGAGGAAAAGTTCTATTCAGGTCCTATTCTCCTATCTTAAATATCTATTCTTATTTAAAAACACAGAAATTTAGTTCTCCTCAAATACTACACTATATAAGAACCCTAACAAGTTATAGTACTTGACATAAAGAGAAGTCTTAAGGAGGAGGGGGGTGCTTTTATTCTTTTTTTTTTTTTTTAAGATTTTATTTATTTAATTGACAGAGAGAGAGAGACAGCGTGAGAGGGAACACAAGTAGGGGGAGTGGGAGAGGGAGAAGCAGGCTTCCGGCCGAGCAAGGAGCCCGATGCGGGGCTCGATCCCAGGACCCTGGGATCATGACCTGAGCCGGAAGGCAGTCGCCTTAAACCACTGAGCCACCCAGGCGCCCCAGGTGCCTTCATTCAATGATATTTTTTATATAAGTGCTATTTCTATTTTGTTGATGGGCAAACTGATATATGGAGAGGAATTTAGAAAAGTAGAAAAAAGTTAGTCAAACACATAACATGGGTTTAGTACCATGTTTTCTGGCAAGGTACTTAACCTCTCTGAACCAATTGGTACTAACAATATCTAACTTGTGGGGCTGTAAGTGATAATTAAATATTTAAAAGTGCTTATGATGGTGCCTGATCAGTCTGAGTAGGTTTCAGTAAAAGATATTATTGAAGGGAAGTAACTCGTCCAAGTATCCTTGACATTCTTATCTAAAAGCAGCCATCTGGGGCGCCTGGGTGGCTCAGTGGGTTAAAGCGTCTGCCTTCGGCTCAGGTCATGATCCCAGGGTCCTGGGATGGAGTAGGAGTCAGAGTCAGGGTCGGAGTTCAGGGGGGGAGCCCGCTTCTCCTGCTCCCTCTGCCCCTCCCCCTGCTTGTGCTCACTCTCTCTCAAATAAATAAAAAATCTTTAAAAAATAAAATAAATAAAAAATAAAATAAAAGCAGCCATCTCCAGTAAATGCCTATACTAAAAATATAGGATACAACTTACTTATCTACAACTTTCTAAACTGCTTACTATATTTTTTGGGGGGAGGGGGCTTCGTTTAAAGGTTCCCTAACTGGTTAAGTGACATTCACTGTATTGATGTCAATACAGTAACAAGCCTCAAAATGAAGTACTAAATTTGTAAAAAATTTCCCTCTTGCGTTAGAAGTTAAAGCAAAGATTCTAGAAGCATGTTTTCAAGGATATTAGCCAAGTATTTCCTATTTGCTAGGCACAGTAGGGTACTATATCAAAATTATGATCTAATCAATCATTACCTCACTGTGATCCTATACCTTCTTTGGACCTTAGCCTCTTTACATATAAAACAGGAGTTTAAAAAAGATTATCTTTCTGGGCCATCCTGTCCTCCCATCTCTAACATTCTTTGATTTGAGATGCAGAGATCTGTGCTCAATCAGGGTCGAGTGGAATGGTATTTAAAGCACTTATCAAGTATATAACTGAGTTCAAACGGCTTCGACTTCACATCAGAGCTTCGTAAGAAGGAAGCAGAAAACGAAGATGCTTGCATGGGGCTTTCCTAGAGAAAGTATCTGGCACAAGAAAAGCCTGCCAAAAGCTAAGCAGGCAGCGGGAAGGAAGGGTCTTCTTCCCCTGAATACATCCTTTACCACTCTGGATTCAGAGTATATGAGGAAAAAATAGATCACTAGATCTTTTCCCAACTCTCTCCCTTTCCCTTGGAGTCTGATCTCGCAGCCATGGCCCCTTATACTCTCCGCTTTGGGGAGCTCGGGTCTTCACAGCCCTGTTCCCTCAGGTACTTCGGAGTCTCCAAGCCCAGATCCCGTCCCCACAGAAGCCCGTCTTCATTGCCCGCTGCTGTTCCTTCCAAACCCAAGTGTTCTCTGAGTGCTCCTGCCCCTTAGGAACCTAAGTCTTCGCTGCCCTGTTTCTGACTCCTTAGGAGCCTGTATCTTCACTGTCCCGCTTCTGTCTCTTAGGAGCCCAAGTCCTCACAGCTCCGCTTTTACCTTTCCGAAGCCCGTGTCTTCACGCCCCTTTCCCTTCCGACCCTCTCCTCTTAGGAGCATGGGTCTTCACAATCCTGTCCCTCTCACACCGCTTTCCCTCAGGTGCCGGAGAACTCACATCCGTCCCCGTTCTCTAAGTCCCGTCTACAGCCCGGGTCCCCACAGCCGCGTCTTCTCCGAGCCCCGATCCCCTCAGTCCCGTCCCAACAGCCTGATTCCTCGCACAACCCGGTCTCCTCCACAACCTAGTTCTTCAAACACTGACCCACTGTGGGTCTGGGTCCTGACTCCCTCCTCCCGCTCTTCTTCCTCAACTGCCAGGGCCCAAGACTCACAGGCAGCAGCGTCTATCTCCCCATGATATGCGGAGACTGCCCCAGTGAAGCGTTCGTCTCAGCAGCCGGTCCGACTGCTGGGCCCTCCCCGAGTACTTCCGGCACCGCTCCCCGCCTCCAACCCGGAAACGCGCGGCTCTTCCGGCCGGCGGGCGCGCGCCTGGCTTGCGCAGGCGCAGACTGCCCTCTGACACGTGGTCGGGGTCCTAGGCTGTTGCTCCGCTCCGGGCGTTGTGCTTTTTCTTGCTTGTGGTTGACTGGCAGCGTGGGCAAGCCCTTCGCCTTCTACCCAGGTGTTACGAACCCTGCCCTTGCTGTTTCTTTCCGTCTCCGCCTGTCGTATATATCGCTAGCACTACCGGTAATTGACGCCCTCGGATGGTTTAGAGGTCGCCATTTTTAGTTCGTGCCTTTTATCTTGTTTTCGGGACGGAGAAACCCACTTGGGACCGCCGCACCCAGTAGGTAATTCTGTTGAACTCTTAACAAGGGAGTTGGCAACACAAGAACCTGGAGACGAGAGACCGTTTGTACCTGTGGATTGGCAACTAATAATATCAATTGAGCGTTTACTGTCATCCAGGAAGTTTGCTAAGCCGCTTAACTCCGATATATCGTTTAATCTTTTAAAGAAAACCCGTGAGGGATGAAGTAAGGTTCTAGCTAATAAGTGCAGTCTCAACTTGAACTCAGAAGTCTCACTGTAAAGCCCAGTACTGTCCTGTATGTAACCATTAAACTGATGGTTTTGGTTTTTCCATCAAACGCTTTGGGATAACTTTATTTTTTACCCTATGCCAGGTGCTAGGCATCTAAGACCCAGTCCTAGCCAATATGGCAGGAATGTATAAAGGGTTGTGACAGCCCAACGTGAGCCCTGGTAACTGCCCACAGGAATCAGGAAGAGGTGTCTCCCAACTGTATTGGTGCAGTAACCTGACCTTCCTGTCTTTTTTTTTTTTTTTTTAAGTTAATTTTTTCTTAGTAATCTCTACATTCAACATGGGGCTCAAACCCAACCCTGAGATCAAGAGTTGCATGCTCTTTGACTGAGCCAGCAGGTCCCCCAGTGCCCTCCTTGTCTTTATATCTTACAATCCTCATCCTACCAAACTCCCAATCACCATCTACACTGCCACCATATCTGAATTCTTAGATTCAAGGCCTCTTCCACCATTAGGCTTCAAGCAGTCTTCCTTAGCCTAATTTCCCTGATACTGCTCTCTTCATTCTCCTAAGGATCTGGAACACCTCCCCCCCTCCCCATCTTTTTAAAGACCAGTTTAAATATACATTCTTCATTCAACAAATAGAGTGCTGGTTGTGTGCCAAGCCTTTTGCTAGGTGCTTGGGTATGTTCCAGTAGATAACCACAGACAATAAATATCCTTGAACTTACTTTACAATCTGGAGTGGAAAAACAGGCCATCAGAAAGTACACAAGGGGCGCCTGGGTGGCTCAGTTGGTTAAGCAACTGCCTTCGGCTCAGGTCGTGATCCTGGAGTCCCTGGATCGAGTCCCGCATCAGGCTCCCTGCTCGGCAGGGAGTCTGCTTCTCCCTCTGACCCTCCTCCCTCTTGTGCTCTCTGTCTCTCATCCTCTCTCTCTCAAATAAATAAATAAAATCTTAAAAAAAAAAAAAAGAAAGTACACAAAAGTGTAAGAAGAGAGAATGCCAGAATAAAATAAATACATAAATACCAGATTTGTCTAGCTGAGTGATGGAGGGCCCTGAGCTAGGAAAGCTTATTCAAGGATCAAGATGGCCAAGGTGGCTGGAGCTTAATAGGTGATACAGTGGTGGGTAAAGAGTTTGGAGAGGTAGGCAGGGTTCAGCTCAGGCTGGACCTTGTAGGCTATGGCTAGGACATGGGGTTTATTTATTGTGCAATGGGAAGGCATTGGAGTGTTGAATAGAGGAGTGAAATAACGATTTGTTTTGAAGAGATGACTGGTGGATTGATTATAGGAAGAGCCCCCAACAAACAACTGACAGAACCCACATCTAGGCTTTCCACCGGTTTATACTACAAGTCTGCATCCTATTATAGTATAAGAGCTGTTTATGTAACTCCCTTCTGCAGCTTCTCCTTTGTAGAGGTCAGGTACCTCTATGTATTATTAAAATACATCAAGGAAAGTGAAATGCCTGAGTCTATATTTTTCGTTTAAAAAAAAATCTATGTATATGTACATAGAAAACAGTCTGGCAAGAGAAACACTAAACTGTTAATAGTAGTTTGGGGAAAACATTCTCACGTTTCTGTACTGTTTCAATTTTTTTACAATTAGCACATGTTTTTATATTAAAAATGAAGTATATGTGAGTGATTCCATTTTTATGCCATTCTGGAAAAGGCAAAAACTACAGGGCCAGAGAAGAACACTGATTACCAGGATTGGGACTAGGGGTAAGGGTTGACTAGAAAAGGAGACCAAGGAACTTTTGGGGGTGATATAAATGTGTGATATTTGATTGATTGTGGTAGCAGATACATGTCTATATGAGTTTGTTAAACCATATGGTAAAAAAGGTGAACTTACTATATGTAAATTATATATCAACAAACCTGACTTTAAAAAATGAAATATGGGGGGAGCCTGATTGGCTTAGTCAGAACATGTGACTTTTGATCTTGGGGTTGTGAGTTCCAGCTGCACATTAGGTGCAGCGATTACTTAAAATCTTAAAAAAATATAATGAAATAGAGAAAAAATAGAAAGCAAGGACAAGTTAAAAAATATTTTCAATTATGCAAGTAATGAAATTACACAATAATGAAATAGCTCATTATGCTTTTTAAAATAATTACAATATTAAAGGTAAGTCTGATTTCTTGTGTGTCATGGTCCCCATCCTTCCCTCCTTCCCAGAGGTAATCAGTGATGTGTGTTTTTGCAAATCTTTTTTTAAAAAGTTAATAAAGTATGTGGCATTAGAAAATATATAGCACTGGGTTTTATGTGCACACGTGTATGTTCTTTATTACATTAACGATATGTGGTACCCTATTCAACACCTTCACTCAATTTTTTTATATCTATTGATAAAGATCTACTTTAACCAATCCAAATTTAGTATTGCTTCTTTCCCCTCACGTTAATGGTCATCCTGCTGTACCTTATTCGGCAACTCTTATCACTCAGTGCTTTTTGGTGTTTAATTCACTCCTTGGCAGCACAGTAGATAGCATTCATTCCACTTTATGAACACACTACGTTCTACTAATCATTAGCAGAAGATTAGGTTGGTCCCAGTCCTTCTCTCCCTGTGCCTCCAGTTTTCCCACGGTGGGGCCGCTTCAGGTTGGATGGCCACGGGTGGTACAAGTTTGTGCATTTTCCATTTTAATAGGGTGGGATTCGTGTCTTCCCCAGATAGGTACCCACAGCCGCCGAGAAGCGGGTATCCCGCGTAACGTACAAAAGGTGCGACCCGACGCCAACTGCAGCCGGCGACAGCTTCCCAGCTCGCTCCTACAACCGCTCTTCCTTGCCACTCCCTCAGCGCCCGCCGGCCCCTTCCCAGCAAGCACCGCGCATATTTGCATATCAATGTACGTCCTTGCCCTTACTTCTATATAAAAATCGAAAGACAAAGTCTTCTTGTGAATATTGCCCTACGGCTCAGCATGTCTTGAAGTTCCCCCTTCAACTTGAGGAGTAAGGATAAGAAATTGCTTCCACTTTGTTTTCACCTTTACCGAAAGAGGGATTCGCCAGCACTGCCTCCCTGTTTTCGTTTCTAGAAAAGCAAAAAGGGCTTCTGTCGTGAGTGGCACACGTAGGGCAGCTCCATTGCTCTTCGTGCGGAATCGACATCAAGAGATTTCGGAAGCATAATTTTTTGGTACCTGGGCAGCTGGTGATCGTTGGTCCCGGCGCCCTTGTTTTTAGTAATAAAAGAAGTGTTTTTCTTTTTTTTTCGTTTTTGTAGGTTCATGAGTTTTTCTTCTGTGATGGGTAGGCGATGTTTGGGGTTTAATTATTAGGTGTACCGAGTGTGGGTGAAGTTTAGTTAAGCGGTTAGATGTCTCATTAATAAACTGAGTGTGAGTTATTTTACTTAAGAGATCTTGACAATGAAATGGCTAGGTAAGATAAGTCAACTATTTATAAGAAACGCGACAAAAGAACCCTAAAGAGTGGTGGGTACAAACTGGTTTTTCACAACCGAGCCAGTTGATTGCTGACATAGAAAAAGAAGCTATTTTTCCATTTCACAGGTTTAAGGAAAGTAAGTTATGTTTATAACAAGCGCACTCTGAGTTATGCCCCCAGTGGGAATATCGGGATTCCTCGTAGGTGTCCTCTTGCAGGGGTGATTGAATCACCATGCATAACTTTGATCTTGTAAAAATTCTTCCCCTTTAACCAGGCGTATATATCCCTTTCTTTTTTTTTTCTTAAGACTTTATTCATTTGAGGGGCGCCTGGGTGGCTCAGTCGTTAAGCGTCTGCCTTCGGCTCAGGTCATGATCCCAGGGTCCTGGGATCGAGCCCCACGTCAGGCTCCCTGCTCGGCGGGAAGCCTGCTTCTCCCTCTCCCACTCCCCCTGCTTGTGTTCCCTCTCTCGCTGTATCTCTCTGTCAAATAAATAAAATCTTAAAAAAAAAAAAAAAAAGACTATTCATTTGAGAGAGAGAGCACGAGTGAGGAGAGAAGGAGAAGCAGACTCCCTACTGAGCAGGGAGTACCACGTGGGGCTTGATCCCAGCCAGGACCTGGAGAGATCATGACCTGAACTGAAGGCAGTCGCTCAACCATCTGAGCCACCCAGGCGCCCTATATATCCTTTTCTAAAGCTGTGTTAATGTTCTTTCTATAGCCTTTGTCCTTTAAAAACAGAAGCAATAGTTTTAAATACCAGTTTAGCACTTTCTTAGTGATGGATACCAGCAACCTTTCTGGATAACCATTCAGCACAGACATAAGAATCTAAAACCTTCAAAAAATTCATCTCCCAAGAATGTATCCTCATGTAAAATTATGTTTAAGAGGAGATTTAGGGGCTCCTGGCTGGCTCAGTCAGAAGAGCATGTGACTCTGGTCTAGATCTCCCGGTGGTGAGTTGGAGCCCCACCTTGGGAATAGAGATTATT